AAAACCACTCCTTTTCTCTCTCTGATATTCTTCTTATTGTTGCAACCGACACAAAACACAGATTTCAGTTAGCACTCACAAAATATTCAAACCCTCTTCTAGACGAGGGGCCCCCCCAAGGGGCCCCCCTAGGGGGCCCCCAGGAGGGCCCCCAAGACCTGGGGGGCCCCAGGGGCCCCCTGCGGTTGTTACCAGCCGGCGGTATTTGTTGCATGCGTTGTGCAGCAGCAGCAGCAGCAGCAGCACCATCACCATCACCAGCACCACCAGCAGCAGCAGCAACAGCAGCAACAGCAGCAGCAGCAGCAGCAGCAGCAGCAAGTGGAGTATATATCCGCGCCACTCAGGGGCATTCAATAGCCTCAATACAAACAGAAAAAATATCAACACAAATTCGTTCTCAGCAAGAACTAGAACAAGCCATACAACATTTCATCTCCAGTTGGGGGGCCCCCCCGGGGGGGGGCCCCCCGGGGGCCCCCAACTGCACTCAGGGGGGCCCCCCTGGGGGGGGCCCACAAGGGGCCTCCCGCTGCGCCCAGGGGGGCCCCCCAGAGGGTCCCCCTAGCAGCACTCAAGGGGGCCCCCCAGAGGGGGCCCCCAGCAGCACAGAGGGGGGCCCCTTGGGGGCCCCCAACAGCTCACAGGGGGGCCCCCCGGAGGGGGCCCCCAACACAGCAGAGAGTGGCACTGCTGGGGTCCCCCCAGGGGGCCCCATCGAGAGGGCCCCTAAGCGCCCTTGTGGGGGCCCCCCGGGGGCCCCCCTGGGGGCCCCCGTGGGGGGCCCCCAGGGGGGGGCCCCCTTGAGGGTTGTACCGATAAGGGGGCCCCCCCCCAAGGGGCCCCGGTTGGTGTTAGTGCATTGGAGTTGTATGAAATGGTGGAGTTTAATAAAGAGAGAAGGGCTGAGGAGAATGCAGAGAAAACATATACATTTCTCTGTGGGGTGGTGGGGTTGTTGTTGTTGTGTTTATAAAGAGGGAGAGGGGTGGGGTTGTTGTTATAGAGAAAAAGATAAAGAAAAAGATGAATGCAGCAGCAGCACAAACAGCTGCAGCAGCAGCTGCAGCAGCTGCAGCAGCAGCAGCAGCAGTAACAACAGCTGCTGCAGCAGCAACAACAATAGCAACAACAGCAGCAGCAGCAGCAGCAACAGCAACAGCAACAGCAGCAACAGCAACAGCAGCAACAGCATGATCAGCAGCAGCAGCAGCAACAGCAGCAACAGCAGCAGCAGCAGCAGCTGGCGTATCTGCAGCTGCAGCAGCAGCAACCTAAAGATGTTAAGTATGAGTGGTGTGCGTGTATATAGTGATTTATTATTAATATTAAATATAAAAAAAACAATAAAAAATAATATTTTTTTTTATATAGCCGCAAATGGAGTTCTTCTCTCTGAAGGAGACAAAGAGGGACGCATTGCTGTCAGCTGCATGCATGCAGCCATCAACACACAAACAGGAGAAATTTTATCTTAACTTTTTTTTTTTTTTTTTTTTTTTTTGNTTTTTTTTTTTTTTTTTTTTTTTTTTTTTTTTTTTTTTTTTTTTTTTTTTTGGTGGCCGCAACAAATTGCCAGCACTCGATTGCTGCCTGTAGCTAGCTAGATAGATAGATAGATAGCTAGCTAGCTAGCTAGCTAGCTAGCTAGACATAGTTAGATAGATATAGGTAGATAGATAGATAGGTAAGTAGGTGGCTAGCCGTATAAATGGATAGCTACTATTAGGGTTTAGGGTTAGTGTTTAGGGTTTAGGGTTTATGGTTAGTGTTTAGGGTTTAGGGTTTAGGGTTTTTGTTAGCTCGTTAATTAGGTCGCCAGCTGCATAGCTGTCTGTTCAGTTCTTGCGTCGCTAGCTACCCATTCCGGGGCCGGCTAGCTAGCTAGCTAGCTAGCTAGCTGGCTAGCTAGCTGGGTGGCTAACTAGCTAGATAGATAGCTAGCTAGCTAGCTAGCTAGCTGGGTGGCTAGCTATACCTTGATGGGTAGCTAGCTCTAGCTAGCTAGCCAGCTAGCCAGCTAGCTAAGTAGATGGATAGATGGATACATAGATAGATAGATGCACAAATATACAGATAAACATAAAAATAAATAGCCGACTGGCTAGCTAGCTAGCTAGATAGCTAGCTAGCTAGATAGATGGGTAGATACATAGATACATAGATGTATGGCTGACCTGCTAGCTAGCTAGCTAGCTAGCTAGATAGATGGATAGATAGATAGATAGATATAGATATATAGATAGATAGATAGATAGATAGATAGATAGATAGATAGATAGATAGATAGATAGATAGAT